ATGGATGGATGTCACATCTAAGATAATAATTCACCGTTGTAACATTGTAGATAAATCAGAAAACAAGTAAAAGCACCACTGGCTCTTTAAACAATACCAGAAAAAATAGCAAACCTTTCACATTCGTACAAATGCAGCCACTGAGGTGAGTGTATTTCATCTGCCCTGCAGCTGGCATGAATGAGGTGTGGCTAGAATCTATTATAAACACGCCCATTAAAGAGCTATTCCTTAATTTGTACAGTGTCACCATTAGGTGGCCCTGAACTACACTATTCACATGGCAGAGTAGTGTTTTTGTTTAGGCCCCGGTTTATACAATAAAATTGTCTAACCATAATTCTTATCATAAAGGTACTGCTTCAGATAAATAATTATTTGTTACGCTGGGTTTCACATTTCTAGTCAAAGATCTATTAAACATCATTAACATGCTTAAGTTATGTTAAGAAACAATAAATAGTGAAGTATGCTAGAATGAAGAAGAAAACTTTTACTGTGAACATTCATTTGAAATCTGATATATCACAGAGCTGCAGTCATAATCCCAGTTATGTGGACTTTGTACAACAATACTGTCCATACAGCTTCATTAAAACACAAGAGGCAGAATGAGGGTTTAACAGCAAGGTATCACTGCACTGTCTTAATGTACAGATTACTAGTTTATAGCCAACTGTCTCTTAAAATGTTCCTCTGCAGCTAAACTGTTGTCTTTATTCATTGTAACAGCAGTTATATTTGAAAACGAACACAAGAGGGCAGAGTACCACACTTCAACACTGTCAAATTATAATCTTACAACACTCCCACTTAATTTTACAACTGTGTTGCAATATAAACACATGACAATACTAAGGGCACTGCTCTATTTCACAAACATAAACCATAAAGGAACATATCCATGTTCTTGTTAGTCATGTTTTCATAACATATCCAACAATAAACAGCACAGATTTTTTCTTTTAACCAGTGGTTCTAGTAAACACACTTAGACTGGGTTAAGCCCAATGTCTTTTCTAAGTTGTTCAAACTTTTGTTTTGTCAAGGGCTTCGTTAGGATATCAGCCTTCATTTCAACTGTTGGACAATATTGCAGTTGTATTTGTCCATTTTGCACACATTCACGAATGTAGTGGTAGCGAATGTCTATGTGCTTTGTTCTTGCATGATCAACT